AATAATAACAGTATAATGATGGATCAGCAATAGATCAGCAAAAAATGAATGACAACCTGTGAAAAGGAAAGGAATCATAGATTGTACTTCCATCTTGTGCAGTAATCTCCTAAGAAGCAGCTATGAAGTTTTAGTGAACTAGCATGGTGTAGTGCAGGGGTAGGCAACCTTTTACCCTTTAAGGACCGAGGGACTTCAGCTCCCAGAAGCCTAAGCCATGTTGGCCAATAGTCCCATGTTGGCCAATAGCTCCTGGGATTCTGGGAGCTGAAGTCCCTCGGCCCTTAAAGGGGAAAGGTTGCTACCCCTGGTGTAGTGGTTTGAGCATTGAACTATGCCTCTGTTGACCAGGGTTTGACTCCCTGCTCGGCCATGTAAACTCACTGGGTGACCTTGGGGCTTTAGGATCACTTAAGTTGGAAATGACTTGAAGGCACACAACAACAACAACGTCTTTAACAGGATGTTAGCCCCTATATATTACACAGCAAATTCATTTGGGTTTTCTTTTTGTGTGTGCAGAAAACATAATGTTTGCACCCCTTCAAACTGCATGGTTTTCTCTGCAGAATAACTCTTCTTCAGCATTTTGGGACACTGAAATATGGGGGGAATATGGTGGGGAAATATTCATTTTTATTATTTTTTTTTCCTGCAGCAGAGAGAAAAGTACCATATTTGTCCTTGTATGTAAGGACAAAATAATCAAGGATTTGCATCCCTAGTCCAGTGGCTGCTGAACAATAGTTCCCATTATACCTCACCATTTGCTATGCTGGCTAGGTTTGATGGGATCTGTAGTCCAAATCTGGAATATAACATGTTCACCAAACCAATGCTATACTGCAGCTTGAAGCACACGCTATAGCAATGTCACCAAAAGCAGGTTTGGGCAACTTGTGGACCCTGAGATATTGTTGGACTACATCTTCCAGCATCTTTCACTGTTGGCTATGTAGTTCATAAGTTGCCCACCCTGGCCTAAAACAAAGCAGCTCTTCCTAGCTCTGATCAGTGCTTGGATGAGAAACCAATTGGGATTCCCAAGTCCACTGCCTTGAGGTCTGTAAATGAGGACAGCTGAGGTGTCAGTTGTAAATCACTTTGGGCAAGGACATTTATTTTGTAACATTTCATGCTCTGTCACTGAACTGCCTAAATCACAATGATAATAATGAAGTTCTTGGTTAATTCTGATCCCATGGAAGCAGTCAAGTAGCTACTCATAATTGGCATATCAGTATCCAAGCTTACTAGGGCTTAAGTTTTGTCCCTTTGTGTATTTTTTTAAAAAATACACCATTTTATTTTCTTGTGATCTCGTGTTCCCCAGTTCTCTTCCAAAAGATTACAAGAAGACCTTGTTACCTCTTCAACATTCATTAGATGCTTTCAGTTATATATACTTTGCGAGAATATAGTTTTACCACCATCAGCACAGAGAATGCATCTGCACTGCAGAAATAATCCAGTTTGACACCCACTTTAACTGTCATGGCTCATTGATCTGGAATTGCTCTCTGATAAAGAAAGCTAAGGGTTCCAAAAATTACAATTCTCAAAATTCCATAGCATTGAGCCATGGAAGATAAAGCAGCATCAAACTGGATTATTTCTGCAGTGCGGATGCAGCCAAAGAGAAAGGAATCTCTTGGCTGGTTTAAGCCTACAGGTAAATTGATACATTACTCTAGATTTGTTCTCTAGCAGCCCCCAGACTTTCTGTCCAGCATGGTCAGTGGCTGAGAGCTGAACTGGTGAATTGGATCCATGGAAAAGTATTGAATTGAAGAAGATTTGTCATGTTACATCCCCTGTCTGTAGAGTTTGGATTAGAACTCCCAACCAGTGACATACTGGATGGGTATTCTGGAGCTGTAAGTCAAATGCTCTTAGCCTCACAGGAAGGCAATGAACAAATCATACCAGGAAAACCCCATGATAGGGTTGCCATAAGTCGGAAATGACTTGAAGGCACATGACAACAAAACAAAGCAATTTCCCCAGGCTCTGATGGCCCATTTACACACATTCAAGCCATCCTCTAATGATGCTGTTATAAGCAGTGAACAGGCAGGACCTGTCATAAGGCAGAAGCTGCATCTCCACTACAGAATTAATGCAGTTTGACACTGCTTTAACTGCTGTAATTCAATGCTATGGAATTTAGGGATTTGCAGTTTTGTGTGAAATTTAGCCTTCTGCCAGAGAGCTCTGTCAGAGAGCTCACAACATACTACCAATCCCAGGATTTCATAGGATGGAGCCACAACAGTTAAAGCAGTGTCAAACTGCATTAATTCTGCAGTGTGGCAGCAGCCAGAGTGAGGCAGCAACTTCAGGCAGCAGAAACTGGATAGTGGGAAAGCAGCAGCAAAGAGCAGGACAGAGCTGTTTCTGACACTGCTCTAACTTTCCCCACAAAAATGTTAGACTGCTGGCTTCAGGGGTACTAGAAGACATTGCATCACTGCCAATGCTGAAGTAAGATTCAGCTCTCAATCCAGTCTAGTGATTGGGAAAATACTTTTTAAAAATATGGCGAAATGCTAAAAAGGTGGGGGGCATCTTGAGTATTGGGAAATCTTGATGAAGAGAATCTTACATGAATGAGAATTTTCACAGTTTGGGACATTTGGTGTACATAAAATAAACATTTTTCCCCCCGAAGAAAACAGCATTTTCTGCACAGAAAAGTTTGCTGTTTTCTGCACAAAAGTGCTTTTTTGGACAGATGTCCCAGGCTATGAATAGACTTTGAAAACTGTGCAGTTCTCAGTTACTTTCTTGCAACAAGAAGAAAAATTGTAAAATTATTTGTTCATCCCTGCATGAATCATATTTACAACGATAGCCCAGTCAGGTTTGAGGAGGGGAGATGACATATGTAGTCTTTCATCTTAGGCAGCAAAATGTCTTGGTTCAGTCTTGTGAATAAACACATACATATAAACCAACCTTTGTGTCATGAAGGCCAATGGATCTTGTGCCATCTACGGGGCAGAGAGTTAACAGTGTGCCAAATTGCCCAATACCGTACTAAACTCTTTATCTTCCTACAGCTACAGACTCTTTTAACCACAAAAAGTTCTTTGAATTGGTGGGGTTGAAAAAGAAGAGCCAAGAAGACGTGAAGAAAGTTTTCCACATTCTGGACAAAGATCGAAGTGGCTTCATTGAGGAGGATGAACTGAAGTAAGCAAAAATAATAATAATAATAAAAATA